AACTTTACAGTTCTCATGTCAAGCCATTCAGGTTCCAGTTTTGCTCTCTGTACCCTTGTTGTATATAGTGAGAGGTAAGGTCAAATTCCCAGCTTTAAAACAATGTTATTGCAAGCTCAGCTACGCTTGCTCGATTTGAGAGCAGAGCATCCAAAGCTGCTTTATGCCTAGTACAAATATAGGCCAATAAATCTTATGAGGACACATATGTAGCAAAACCCCCAGCCTGGTGGCTTTAATTCCACAGCATGGAAGACTGCAGCCAGACTGTCTGGTGTGGCAGGGATTAGGGGCTGATAACATCGAAGTCTGAGAGCAAAACCAGACTGGGGCTGCAGAGCACAGAGTACCAGAGGGAAGGGGTGCTCTGAGTCAAGGAAACATCTGCTGTACCTGTGGCAGTCCCACTCTAGAGCCGCTGGCCTCATTTCTGACTGAAAGGATCTGCAAAAGCTGAATGCTTTGAGTTATTGACACTGTGGTCAGGACTCAGAATGAGTATTTCAGATATTCAGCAGCATTACTGAAACCAGAATCTGGCCTGTTGTTTCTAACAGAAGTTATCCAGGAGATGTAAAGGAGCTGTCCCAGTAGCTGCAGGCTCATGGTCTTTGGACAGTTCAGTTAACAGTGTCACAGTGACACAGCTTAACTGTGCTGCTCTTTGTGCCACTGCTGTGGTTCTCAGAGCCAACCACCTTCTAGAGAGACAAGAGGGCTCCCACATCCTGGGGGCAGTGCTGAAGAATGGCTTCCTAACACAATTCAGCTGCTTCCTAAAGCAGCTGAAATAGGGGAGCAAAATCAACCAGCTCTGTTAATTCATAGGTCAGTTGCTGGGAGACAATGGGGAAGGGAAGAGGACTTTCCACTTTTGGCAAGATGCTAATTTGTCCTGTGTCTAATGGGAAGCTGCACCTCAGACCTGCTGCTCAGACCAGGTGCTGCCTGCACTTCATACAAGTCTTTAGGATTTCCTCAAAATCCATGACTACCAAAGTGCAGAACATATGTTGCCATATTTGTCTCATATTACATGTACATACATGTTCCTAATTCAATACATCTACACCTGAATCCTCTTATCCCATGCATAATTAGGGAAGGGCTCCAAAATGTGCTCGTAGAATGCAGCAGCCTGTGCATCACAGCAGGCTGCAGTCAAAGATGGTGATTAGTGGGTCACTTGTGCATATGTGCTGCTGTCACAGCAAATGCAGGCCAGGCCCACTGTGCCAGCTGGGCTCAGCAGCTCAGCTCTGTAGCAGGTTCACTGAGCTGATATTGAAGTTTCGTGCACATTCATCCTTTTAGCCTCAGCTGAATACTCCTGCTCTATCTGGCAGAGTTCCTGAGGCAGAAGATGCTCTGGGAAATGTTATTCCTCAGGGCAGGCAGTATTTAGCACTTATTTTTAATGTAACCAGAAAGCCTATGTCTTCAGTTTCTCTTTTACAAGAATATCCTTGTCTCAGACCTAAATTTATCTATGTTTTAAACCAGACTCAGTCACTGTTATGCAGTAGGTTTAATTCCCTACTCTTATGTGAAATTATTTCTGCTACGAATGCTGAACTGAGCCACTGAGGTTAGACAATGTTGCTTGTGCTAGAGAAATGAATCCCAGATCATGTTAAGTTTCCTGTACTATTATTTTGTGACCTGTGTCTTGTAAGCAATCTGCAAGCAATGCTGGAACTTCAGAAGTATTTTATCTACCTGGCTTTCTTAATTGAACAAGCACAAGAGTATTTATAGATGCTGACAGCAATGATGAGCTCAGTTTGAATCACTCCTTCCTAAGTGCTGGCAGTGTCTTTAATTCAGTGCACATCAGTGATAAACACAGTGCCTGAGTAGAGACACAGCCTCACTTTATGGTCCTGATCCATGTGGGTACATCTGGATCCCATCCAGAGCTGCAGTAAAGCTCACAGAGATCTGCAGGGGCCAATGTGGTGGCAGGCTGGGTGCTTGGTGGGCAGAGATGGACAGGTACAACACTCTGCCATTCATTTTGTTGTGTGTTGGGGCAACATTTTGTTGTGTGTTGTGTGTCAGGATTTTGAGCCAGACTGAAGCTCCCACTCCATAGCATTCCCCAGGACTCAGGTTTGGTGGGCAGGAACTCACAGCAGGGCTATCCCAAGGACCTCATGAGGATCCAGCCAGCCTCCCCATCCCAGTTCCATATTTAAATGTCAAACCCCCACACTACTCTCCCTTCAGTCCCTTGTTCTGAACCATTCCCAGGAGAGCCTTGCTAAACATCCAGCTCATGGCTGGAAATATCAATGTGCAGCAAAACATACCCCTTATGTAAGAAGTGTTTCTCAAGAGCCTGACAGAACCAAGAAACCCTCCCAGTTACCTTCCATCTCGAGGTGGCAGTTCAATTCTTCCTTCTCATTTTTTGTTTTTAGTCCATTAAAGATCTCATTCACCAATTGCTCTCTTAAATGTTTTTGATTAACAAAACTTAATTTTGGCTAATACTGGATTTTCTCAATCCAAGCAAACCAGCTTAAAATAAAAATAAGCCGAGGTTCTGGCACACACATTCAGGTCATCCTTTCACCAGATAAATTGTGTAACTTTGGTAAGGCTAGTCTCAAAGACTGGATCACAGTGCATAATTTATTAAAAAATATTGGGAGAATTCCAGCATCTAGTATTAAGTGGGTAGTTGTAATTCCTGCAGGATAAAGAACGATAAAGAAACAAAATGCTTTAATCCTCTACAAATTTGTCTAACATTTAATCTAGCTACTAACCATATGATATTTCCTTTCTCAAGCAGTCTTAATTGTTCTTAATTCTACTAATTAGGACTATGAGGGAGAAAGTGGAAATCCTCAGCAATTAAATTCATGTTTCTTTGCAAAGCCAAGCTCGTACGTGAGGTGCATATTCAGAGCTGTGCTGGAATCTCTGTGTGGATCTCTGCTTTCAGAATATTCCATATTCACACAGCAGGTCAGAGCACAAGCACCACACTGAGCACTCTTGTAGCATCTTTCAGCCCAGCAAACCAAGACAATTTAATATTAATGAAGCCTTTAACAATCTGGAAGCAGAATTCCCTTACGAGGCACAATAAAGCAGTAACCACCTTTACTCTCCTATAAACATCCTCTCCATCCTCCCAGGCCCAGCTCCATCCAGCTGTTCCTCTGTTGGTTCCCTGTGTCAGACAAGCCCCAGGGCTCAGGCAGAAGGTTGTGCCTGCACCTGACAGGGAAAGGATGCACAGCTGCCTCCTGTCTGTGTCTTGCTTTGGCTACATATCTGACATTTGAACCAGAGAATCAGCAGCTTCATGGACGGTCTGCAGAGATAATCCAATGCCTTTATGAGACTCATCTGCTCTCAAGCAGCAGGCCAGCAAGTTCCTCTCATGTTCAGCCTTCTGTTTCAATCATTAGGCAATACTATTATCACTTAATTAAAATTTTTCTCCCACAGTTCTCCCTAAAAACAACAATTACCTCTTTGTAGCAACTGTTCTCAGTTATTGATGCTACTGATGCAGAATCTACCTCATACCTTTAAGTGTGACCATAATACCATGTTATAATCACTCAAAACAGAAAAAGATAATGTTTTCTAAGCCAGTGCTGCACAGTGACTCTCTTAGCAACAAGTATGTGCTGCTGCTTGCTGCTTCTGCAGAGAGGAAAGCAGCTCTGGAAAATGTCCCCAGTTCAGCATGCATTAAACTGTCCATGCACACAGCAATTCTCTTCAAAACTGAGAATAGGCTTTTCACATATATTTGAGGGTTAACCTGTCTTGGGGTTTAAGCAGGACTTTGAATTAAATGTCATTTTTTTGGAGAAGTCAGGAGTTTCTCTCTGCATAAATACAGGTATATGAAAGAAGATAATTGGGTCATAGACTGTCACTGTATTCTGCCCCAAGATTCAGAAGCTTAGAGTTGGAAATAAATCAGACCTGAAAATGATCCTATTAGAATCATGACACAAATCTTGGTTCCCAAATGCTGCATGGAAATGTAAGACTTTTTAGCTGTTTTAGCCCCAATTATACTATGATTCCTCTTTGAATCCTGCAGAGGGTGTGCTCTTCATTTCAAATAAGGATTGACTGTCTTCCTGTCTTTCCAGCTTAAACTGAAATTATAAATTAACTCTGCATGTAGTTGTGTGAAATGTTACAGAGTGAGATACACAGAAAGTCAGAAAAGGTGACAAAAAGGGTTCCTTTTGGAATTAAAAATCTATTGGTCTCCCTGCAATCTCAGTGTTGGGTCATTGCCTTCCTCTGTAGTTCAGCTGCGAGCAAAGATGAAGCCATTGACCTCATTCAGGTTCTTATTCTGAAGCCTCAGAACTGTATCTAAATAAAATTTAGCAGTGTACAGCTCTAATCTCAACTCTTTTATTCAGGAATTAGATCCTCCTTTTGAAAGGCAAACCATTCTTGACCAAACCACTTCAAAATCTACATCACCTGCAATTTTAGTGATGAAAGTATATTGGGGTACTAGAGTTTATGAATTAGCACAGGAGTACTTAGAAGTGCCATAGTAGATTACAGCACCCAGGGGTCTCAGGAATACATCCCTGACTGTCCTGAACAGCTCATTATCTAAGTAGTGAAGGCAAACTATGGAATAAAAGACTATTCATCCCCCCAATCAGCATATGGGGAAGGGAATCATAGCAATGATGTCACCCCAGTTACAACACGGAGACTGTGGCAGAGCCAGAACCTGCAGCCAGAGCTCCTGGGTCTCACCCCAGGTGTTTGGAAGCAAGTCCCAAAACTTCAGTTCCAAGGAGCTGTGTCTCTGCTGAACTGTGCTCAGCCAGGCACAGCTGTATGGCACAGTGGGAGAGAGTGGCATCCTCTGCACCTGCCCAGCCCTTGCTCTCCAGGAGGGCAAAGAACTGATTTATCATAGCAGACCCAACACACAGTAAAAAGAAGTTGGTTTCAGTTCCATAGAAATTATTCTTCTATTTGTTCATTTTTAGGAACATGTTTCCAGCCAATCTTGTTGAGGCCACATTCAAGCAGGTAAGTGGCAATATTCCTTTTACTGATGAAAGACATGAGCCAGTATTATACAAAATACATACCTTTGTAAAACACAACCCAGATGTAGCCATGGCATACCACTGCAGACACTGTTAGTACCTTCAGCATTTAGGAATTAATGAGTCCCATTCCATTAGCCTCAGCAGCCATGGTATCTGAAGGCAAAACAGGGATAAAGTGCTCTCTAGTATGACTAGAGAATAGATATGCACTCCTATGTCAGCTCCATGTCCACCTGAGGAGAGCTGGAATTTATTTAAAAGCACCCTGCAACATCACACAAAGGAAGAACAGAATATCATGTTCAATTAAAGCAACAAAGTAATGTATTGGGGAAGAATCTAGTTACTCAGGTTAGAATTTGGCAAGAAAAGCTCATCTAAAAGTTTTGAGGGAGCAAGAGGCATAGCTGTATTTATTTCACCTGGGGGAACATTTCATGGGAAGCTCACAAAGAGTGGGGCACTTAGAACCTCTAGGAAGTAATTCCTAATTATGTCTTACAGGAAAGTAGCTTGGTCAGGAGGCAAAATGTTTGCTGACCAGGGTGTGATTATAGGAACTCTGGTTTTGTTAGGCTTTTCCAAAAATTCAAATCTTTTTACAGATTTTATCAGATAGAGACGGGAGTGTTCATTCTCCTTTTCATGCCAGTCCCTTCAACATGCAGCATTGTTGAAACAAAGCACTTAGGAGGTCTCATTAAACTATTAATTCCTGTTGGGATATTGTAATAAAAACTAGTATTTTTTTCTTTCAGTATCGCACCAGGAGTATTCCCATCATTAAATCGAACAAAGCAGCGCCCGAGAGCAGCACTCGCCGCATCATCGTCTACGGCGTGCAGGACGAGAACGGCTCCAACGTCCAGAACTTTGCCTTGGATATCACCCCCCCTCCTGAAGTGATTTACAAATCAGAGCCAGGTGCCAGTGATGGCATGAATGTACTTGGGATTGTGATATTCTCTGCCACGATGGGTAGGTTTCAGACATGTTTGGTTTGCAATAATCCAAGTGTCCGCTTAAGAGAAAAGGATTGGGGTGGGGTTGCTTGGTTTTTTGACTCAGCTTTTTTAACTGTTTCTATCTAAAATTTTTTGGGGAAAACGCAAGACTGTTACAGAGATGTACCCCCCCCCCCCCCAAAGCCAAATTTTCAAAATCCTTGATGACTTTTGTTCCATGGAGTTGGATTTTCTGTGCATTCATTTGTCTTTTATTTTTTTCTCAATTATTTTGAGCTTTTATTTATGACCCATCTTTTGCTGACTGTAAGACAACCTTGTACAGTGTGCTCAGAGGAGGCAGGAATTACCACCAGATCAGACCTATGGGCCCTCTACCAGTATGCCAACACATATTGTTTTATGAATTTTAAATCTTTGGATATTCCTTTTTTGATTGAAACTTTTTGATTTTATTTTTTGTATCCTGCAATGAAGATAGTTATATACCACCTACTAGCTTGTCAGAGTAAGAGCTTCTGTCTGGCTTATTTATTTAATTTAACTTGCTGGAGGAACTCATTGGTGCCATGTGTGTTTTATTATGTTTGTGGATTTGAAAGAAGATATTTAAACAAACATTTCCTAGTTAATCATAAAGTTCTGATGACTTTTATAAGAAAATGCTGATCAAATTTTCCTTATGTAAATTTATTCTTGGAAGTTAATCTGGTCAGCAAAGGTAGTTCCATAAAACATCTTTGACTGTATTTATTTATATTGTGGTTCATACAAGCACAAGGGGTCAAGATTCAAACCCGGAATTAGTGGATTTGTCTCTGTTTTTTTAGCTTCTCCAGTGGGTGGTATTCCCTGTACAACTCTGATGGAAACTGGCCGCCTCCCAGTTTGTAGTATTTTATAGTCCATTTCCAAAGTACAGCATCACCACAAACACTATTCCAGTCAAAACCTACTGGATATGAATGAATTAATTACATCTAGTTGTTAGGACCAAGGGCAATTTTCTGCTTCTGAGAACAGAAGATCATTCATTGTCTGCCCAGAACTGAATGTACAACTTTTACCGAGCCCCTCAGTCTTGCTGGCTCTTGCTGAGCCAGCTGAGATCTGGCTTCTTCCTGGCTGATGGACACAAAACAGCACCAGGATTGTCACCCACAGCACGGCTGCTGGGCCACCTCTGGCTGTACCAGCCATGAACAAACCTGAGACACCAAACCCTCAACAACTCATCACCAGCAACTATTTCAGGCTTTTGTTTTGAACAAAGGATGTGGCCAAGCATTTATCGCTGTCTTCCTCCAAAATGGAAGCATTGAAACAGCTTAATGAAAAAGTGTTGTCTTCTGACCTAAAAGTTATGGCTTAGATGAATTCTAACAGGCTTACAAACTCACATCTTGAGAGGGCTGTATTGTGAAATCCCTGGATAAGGCAGCTGAAAGCCTCCCTGCCTGCCCCAGCAGGGGATGGCCCTGGAAGCAGCGCTGCCTGAGACGTGGCTCGGAGCCGTGGGCTCCAAGGGACAGAGCCGGGCTCCTGCTCAAGGCAAGGCCACTGCACATCCAGAACAAGCAGCAGCACACACCCCGCTGCCAGCCCCTGCCTCCCCAGGCAGCTCCCCTCAAAGGCAAACTCCCTTGGTGCAGCCAGCTTTTGAAGTGTTTCCTTGAGCAATTGATTCGATCACTTAAAATGCTTGCAAGAAGGATAACTATAGGAAAATGTTGTCTATTTATATGCATTAATGGAAACTAACAGTGTCTGGAGAACATATGGTAAGATGATACATCCCAGAGCCGTATTTAGTTCTTTTCTGAGCAATGAGGGCACATACATGGGTTTTATTTGCTTTCTTCTTTACTAGTTAGTCATTATAGCAATTTGGCCTTTCTCCCCATGAATCTGCATTTCCTTACCTCCCCCAAAACTGCAAAGCTTGACTGACTATAAAGCTTAATTATTATCATGTAGATAGAAAACTACTAAAAATATGACAGAAACTCCATTACTAACTCCCCGTTACCAGAGCAAACCTCAAAACCTGGCTTTTCTTCCCAAGACCTCGTTGGTGCAGCCTGGCTGTAAGCAGAGACAGATTCCTTCAATAGAAAATGTTTCTCAGTTTGTGTTCCACGGATCACTCAGAGCAGGCAAATCCCACACAAGGCTCTATGACTGATAGTTCAGGACACAGCCTTGCTACCAGAGGGCTTTGACTTTCAGCAGGGAGAGAAAGCACTGGGGCTGTGTGTGAAGACACCTGAGAAACTGAACCCGAATGCTTTGGTTGCAGGTATAATGTTGGGAAGAATGGGGAACAGCGGCGTCCCTTTGGTCAGCTTTTGCCAGTGTTTGAACGAATCTGTCATGAAGATAGTGGCAGTTGCTGTTTGGTAGGTAACTGTTTTACTAAGAAAATCAGTATTTTTTAAAAGGCGTAAGAACATTTCAAGAGAAGAAAATGCACAGAAATCTCACACATTTATTTCCAGGGAAGTAAATGAGGATGAGTAACTGTTTTGCAGGGCCTCAGCATTTGAGGATGCACATACATCTGTCCCTGATCTGTACCATTCTTTTGGCAGGGCACCCTCCATGTTACTCCCAAACAACAGAACATGGTATAGCTGGGTGGGGTGTGCTGTATGTCCCAAGGGCGCTGCCAATCCCTGGGCAAGCCAAGGGGGAATCATAGCCACCCAGGCCACACAAGGGAGAAGCACAATGGGATGCTCTAGCTGGTACCTCCATCCCTTCCAGCACTGCTGCAGACCCAGCCAGACCTGCCAACACACCTGACCCAAAGATCAGAGGAACAGCACATGGCTGCCAACAACAAGCACTATCAGCTTAGCACCTTCTCCCCACTTCAGGATGCTCAGCCTGATGTGGGACAGGGAACCAGCACTCAGCACACAGCCTCTTTTTACAGCTACATGGTCCCATCTGAGTGAACTGGGTCAGGGAATTGCTTGGGATATGTCAAAGGAGATAGTTTATTTCTGGAAAAATGAGGAAGTATTGTCAAGTCTCTGGCGATGGCACATCTTCAAGTGGAAGATGGCTGGATGCTTCCAGAATTTTTATTTTTTTTTTTTTAATTTAAAGCTTTTTGGTATCCATGACTTTGTATGCAGCTGCGCACAGAAGCACAAGTTTTGATAAAGCACCTGTCCAGAGCAGATTCAGAAACGAACAATTCTTCTGCCTATTTATCTGGCACAAATCAAACCCCCAGGCAGTCCAAGAGCATGTCTAATGCATGTTGGTGGTTCTCCTCTCTCTTCCAAAGGCAACAGAAACGTTTACTTAAGAGCTTCCAACAAAAATCCATGAATAGCTACATGAACACAAACACATGAGAGGAGCTCAGGATTCATTCCCCCTCTTCCCAGTAATTTACCTGCCTGAAGCTAAAAATCAGAGCTGCCTTTGGAACCAAAACATTTTAAAGTTGTTCCTTGCCAGCACCATAATCTCAGCTGTGCTGAGGGGGACCCCACAGACAAAACTGTCCAGCTCAGTGCTCTGGGAATCTTGCTCTGGTGTGGAGACACAACAGCCAAACCTGGACAGGGCAGGTACTGCACTGCCACTGGAAGGAGCTGCAGCTCTTACTGTGTGATGGAAGGAAGCTGTCTCCTAGTAATGTCTTTCTTTTTGCTCAGGTATTTTCCATTTGGAATTGTGTTCCTAATAGCTGGCAAAATCTTAGAAATGGATGACCCCTCAGCCATTGGGAAGAAGCTGGGTTTCTACGCCATTACGGTGGTGTGCGGCCTGGTGGTGCACGGACTCTTCATCCTGCCAATGATGTACTTCTTCATCACCAAGAAGAATCCCATTGTCTTCATCAGAGGGATCCTTCAAGCCTTGCTCATTGCTCTGGCCACATCCTCCAGGTATAATAGAGTTTCTAGACAGATCCAATAAAATACTTGTTAGAGCCTTACTCCAACTACCTCTTGGGAAGAGCACACTATTGCCGTAGTGGAGCAGATATATCTGTGTCTGAACAATGGTCTCTGTCCAATTCACTGGTATAAATTTAAAAAATGTGTGTCTCAACATTTGGAAGTTATGTGGAAGCCACTGGACAATAATATTTGTCATATTGTTTTCCCTTGGCTTAAAAATATTGGATAAAACCATTTTTTTCATAGAAGACTAGAAAGGAAATAAGTTCTTTTTCCATATAAAAATATTGTGCTTCTACAAAGTTAATGTATATGTGGGACATGCAGTTTGTTCAGACTTCATTTTTGGTATTAGTGGGGAACCTCCTATTTCAGTCATATGGAAACATTTTATCCTTTCCACTCATGTTAGTCTTTGTCTCTTGGTACATTAACAAAAGACTGTGGTTGCAAGCTATTGTCCAGCACTGGGAAAGTATTTAAGTGTTGTGCTCAAGAAATAGTATCTTTTGCACCCTTTTTAGAGAAGATGTACAATGAGTTTTAACCATAGCTGAACAAAGGTACAGTGAAAATGGGAACCAGCTTGTGAACAGGCTATGAAAATGACTCCCATCATGGAGAAAATGGTGCATGAGATGTGCTTGAAAGGGCTGGAATTGCCTTGCATGGAGCAGATACAGAAATTACTATTAAAATAACATTTCTGTGTAGCCAATATGACAACACAGTTTCATGGCATCTGTGGCTGAAGGAATGTCTACAGATTAGACAATCTGATTCACAGATTTAATCTGTGAAGCCACAGATTAAAAGAAAGGGGAAGAGGGAATTATTATTTCAGTGCAGAAGGTACTGGATTTCCACTGTGACATTTTACAAAGTGTTTTTATATATAATAGTTTGCTCCAAAATGACCAATAAAGAGCAGCATGCTGAGAAACACAATCAAGAAAAATGACGTGGTGAGTGGTGCTTAAACTCTAAATACACTTAAGGAAAGCTTTTTTATTAGAACATAAAAAGTTTGTAGCTTGAGATGTCACCACATCCCAGATTCAAGTAAGATGAGAATTTTGCACTTAAAGATGTTAATGTTGGAAAAGGCTCATCAGGCTCACATTTGACACACTTGACTACCTTCCCTGCTTCTCCAGGAATTCCCTTTCCGAAAACTCTATTGCTGACAACTCAGTTTTTTTAATCTGTGCCATTCCTCTCATACTTTTTTTTTTTTTTTCTAGAAGGAGATAGCTTTTACTAAAAATTGGAGTATTTATCTTTTTAGAAAAAAATATCCAACTTTTTTTTATGAGTATAGATGCCTTTAACAAGGGAAGTTTAATAAAGACTTACAATATCAGCAGGCATTCCACCATTTCAAAATCATTACTTTTCTTGATTTTCTATATTATGCATCAACATTGCATTTGGGTTTTATCACCAATTTAGGAGTCCTTTACTGATCTTTACTGATCTGGAAACTGCTGAGAGAGAGATTTTGTCTCTGCTGAGCCTCCGTAAGGGAAACCAATTCTTACTTGAGGTTTTTTTCAGCCTCATTTCCTTAGCCCTTACAAGCTGATGTGAGAGTGCCCTCTGACAGTGGGGAATACACAGGGAATTCATCTTCCTCTTAAACCTGTGCTTTGACTCTCCTGGGCTCTGACTCCCAGATAAGACCCTGCCTCTGGGGATATCAAGTGCTTTGAGACAGCACATTCTCCCTTCAGCTGTGCAAGGAATAATTCCTTACAGCCCCAGAGAGGGTGTATTTGGGAACAGAGCTCTGGCACCAGCTGGCAGCTCAGTCTGCACCAGAACCACCAGCAGGACTTGCTACCAAATTTAGTATCTTTATTGGCAGAAGCTACAATATCACCAAATTTAAGGTGAGTCCTGAGGGAAGGCTCTGAATATATGGATTTGGGCTTTGGCCATTTTTGGATTTAGCTGTTTCTCCCTCCTTAAGAGTGTATATATTTTGCAAATCCAACACAGGCCCAACATGGTTTCCCAATGTTTTTCTGCTCAAATCACAGTGTCTTTTCTAGAGATAGCTGAACTTTTCACCTTCATTACACTGAAAGGAATGGATACTGCACATAACTGAGCTGTTGCCAAAAGAACATGCACAAATAACTGGGGCTGGACAGGAGAGCTGCCTCTCCTGACAGTCAACACATCTGTATTTGGTTAAATAAGACTTGCCACAGGGGCATTATATAACACTTGTCATGTGGGTATTGGATTTTCAGATCATCCTAGAGGAGAACTAAGACTTGATTTTAAAAATACTGATGTGTTTCTTGGAGATGTTTCTGTGTTGGTTCAGGTCTACATCTAAAGATAAAAAGAAAACCACGAGTTAGTGTGCTGATAATCATTTCAGATACTCTGCACCTGGGGAAAACTTGTTTTTACAGCTAAAGATCAAACTACAAGAAGCAAAAACAATACCATTTACAAAGCCCAAGAATGTAACACAGGAGAACCTGAAAGCCACTCAGCAGCCATCTGTTGGCAAGGATTTTACTGAATCTCAACATTATTTCTGCTCATTTCCCCTTAGTGAAAGGTTCTGCACCCCATTCTCAGTCCCCTTATGCTTCTCCAGAAACCCCAACCACAGCATATTTTGCTTTGCACCAATATCAGTGGAGAGGCAGGAGCAGAAAAGCAGGTCTCTTTCCTTTGGTGCATCCCTTAGGACACAAGTGAATGTGCACAGCTCCTCTTTTCTGCACCCCTGGAGGTGCACAGCACGTGCTGCCCCTGCCCACCCTGCTCTGGGCTGTCCAGGCTGCACATTTGGGGATTTCTGACTCTGCTTTCTTCCCCTCACACTGCCCCTGATCTTGTCACCTCCTATCACACTGAAAAAGCAGAATTTGGCCAGCAGGCAAAGTTCTTCTTGATCTTAGCTTTCCTCATTCCAATGGCAAGAGGGAATTTTGTTTTTCTAGGTCATCTTTCCATATCATTAATGAATTAAAACAGCATCTTTTCAGTGGTACATCCCATCAAAAGAAGCAATTTTCATCTTCTCTGAAGACAAATTATAAACCATGAGTTTTTCAAGGGTTTTGCTGCTTATGAAACACTAAGATCTTGGCTATTGCACAGTATAAATTAAAGGCAGATTTAGAAAGGGGAGATGAGATCAGTTTGCTGATTTTTTTGGAGCAAATATCAAAATGCATTTGAATGATAAGATAAACAGAGCAGGCTGAACAGCTGTTCTTCCACAGTGACTGGCTGTCTTTATGGCTTTCACTAGTAAGAGCTTGGCCTGGGCCAGCATTAGCTTATGCTCAGTCTCTGCAGCTGCAGCATTTTATCCCAAAATTGAGATAAGACTCTGAATTGTATTTTTAATTGTTAGAGTTAATGATGGAAAAAGATACCTCTCAGCTGAAAGCCTTGAGTCAGTTTTTAAAAGAGTTAGCAGATTAAGATTAGTGCTTTAGAGTAGTTTTTTTCCTCAATAAATATTAAATGTCATGCTTTAATGTTACTGCTCCACTGTTTAACACTAGGTACAAGTAGTTTTCAAGAAAACAAACTTCACCTAGTTTAACTAGAAAGACAAACTAAAAAAATTATTTGATAATGTCTTTTATAATATTGAAATTATATATTAGTATTATTCCAAAACTACAGTAGACCCTTTTTTCCCCTCATTGCCTCCTGAGAGACACCAGTAGCCAAAGCTTTAAATAAGACATATTTTTCTGGTGTGTGCCAGATGATATAATATGAATAAAAATGGAACATCATTGGACAACCTCTTCTATGATGTTCCACACAACTTTTCTCAGTTGTACTCAGGAAAAGTTCATTTCTATGAAACAGGTGCTGAAAGGGTAACAACCAGGGATGTAAAGTAGCAATCTTCTAAGTGAGAGGTTAAAAGACTGATTGGGTCAATCCAGGCTGAGGGAGGAAAACGCTGATTTTTAACGTCATGCGTTGCAACAGCTGACTGTGCAAGGAGAAATATAGAAAACACATAAAAGCAAATTTAGTGTAAATTGATAAGACTACCTCTAGATCATAAATTCAATTTCTCATGTGAGCAGAGAGTTCTGGAAAGTCTTTCAGCAGGAGTAAGTAGGACACAGATCGTACTAACTCTAAGATGCAGTGTCATAAATTTGAGTGAGACAATGTAGTAGTCTAAAAAAGTGCAAGAATATGGAAATTTGTTTTCTTTCAATATCTTGCATGTTTTTCATCATCATTGCATTTACATTCTGACCATTTTCCTTATTATTGTAATATTTAACAAACAACAAATCCAATGTGTTGTTATGTGCCTTAGAAATTTTACTTCAGGCAGCATAAAATTCAAATGGAAGACACACCTACCTGTGAGATAGTGAACAAGTTTAAAAGCTGAATTCTTGCAAAAACAGTGTCATAAAATCTGTTTACAACAATGGAAACAGATACAGATTTTGCTGGTTGTACCATTGGTATTATGAGATTGTTTTGCACAATATTTTTGACATCTCAATCAAATTGTAACACATTAATCAGCTAAAATTTGTGCATTTGACAGCTCAGCTCTCTGCCCTCAGAACAGGCAGGCACTTAGATTTAATATTCTGGTATGTCAGAGTGTGAGCAAGGTGGCAAGGACTTGTAAAATTACCTTTCTGTCCTCATTTCCACCCAAAGAAATTAGGCAGGGTTTTGTTACAGAAAAGCCAAATGTCTGAGGGAAGTCTGTCTTTAAAAACAACTCTCCAAAACTGAGTAGCTGCAGAAAAGGGAGACAATGAGTTAAATTTTTTTTCTTGGTGAAGCCTCTAGTCAGACTATCTAGAAATGCTACTGAGTCTGCTCCTAGTTGCAGCTGCTCCCAGGGCTTTCTGTTCTGCATTATTTGTGAGCCACAGCCTCTTCTTTTATGAACATTTTATGGTAAACAAGAGGCAGAGAATTTCAGTAATTCACAAATAACTGTGTGAAAAACGACAGGCACGCTCAAGAGAGAAATTACACCTTCTGAGCAGCTTGGGGATTACGGGGTTATGCTTTGCTGTGTTTGTTTTTCAAAGTAAATATTGATTAAATAGTAGGACTGCCTGAATTAAAGTTTAATACACCCCAATTACAGGAGGTAATCAGATTTCCATTGCTTACTTGCCTTTCTAGCATATTTACTTAGAGAAAGACTTTGGTCTGGATTTTCAGGCAGTGTCTGCCAGTTGGTAGTAAATAATTCAGCAGTAAGACTTCATAAAGTTCTAGAAAACAGAGATATCATACTGAAAACATAGCCTTGTCTTTTTTCTTTTGTGTTTCCATGGCAGGAAGTTACTTTTCCTTTCCAAACACAGTTACTTTCCTCAAACAACAGCTTGCACAAATATAAAATGACAACTCCTATTCAGGGAAACATTTTGCTTAGGCGTTCCTGCAAACTTGGGGTTGTGATTTCAGAGTCTTTGGAATCCCACTGTGCTCTTATATGACATTTGTAACAACTGAGAAAGAATTTGCATATCCAATGTGTTATCTTCAATTGAGAACAGCTAATTGTAAGATTTAGCTATTGGAGGCACATTGTGATGTGAGGGTCACTACACATGGTGACAGAGCAATCTGAACTGCCAAACCAGAGGAAGACTCCTGGATTTACTGTCTCAGGGCATGTAAATCACAGGACAACAGGACACTGAAGATCACAGTGTCACCATACTGTATTTCCCCTATTACCACCTTTTTAAAGAGGTAACTTTGGAATAATTCTGAAGAAGTTTGCTATATTGCATCTGTTTAAATAGTCTCAGATAGTGAGCAATGTATCAAAGTTGGTATAATAACAAGGAAAATATTTTGTGATTTGTGTATTTTTTTCAATGGTGTTACTTATTTTCCATACAAACTAAAGTGCCATTAAAAATAGCCCCTCACTCACTTGAATGTAGTCTCATTACTCATGACATCAGTGAATAAAACACCACATGGTAAAATGGAGAATGTTACCAAAAGGCTGATAAAATATCCAAATAAATACATTTCAATGTATTAGTATTTAAAAATGTGTGCCTCTTATTAAAAATAAGAAAATATATGACCATATAGTGTTTTGTTAATTGTCTCAGTTAATGAAAACAAAAATCTGAAATATTTTTTTAGGGTATGAAGCTCAACTTAAAATGAATATCTGTCAAATGTTCTTATACCATTCCATTCTATTCCACACATATCTCATTTACATATGCACACATTATTATATGACCTGCAGTTATCTGGTTGTTATATGATCACACAAGAGATGGGGGCAGATCTGTCCCAGGGAGAAAATGGGATTTTATATTCTTAAACACAGATGTTTTGTCTGCAACTTTTATCTTCAGGCTGCTGTTGATAAGATCTTTGTCTAACCCTTTCCAGAAACAACAAGTTGTTTACACATGAGGTAGGCCTGGAAGGAAACATTTTTAGAAATCATGAGTGTAAAACAGTTTTCAGAGATTTTAGGAATAAGCTGCACAGAATGTTGTTCCCTTTTTTTGTATTTGAGTGTACGACACTACCTCTGTGGGAATTCTGTCCCTTTGATTCTGAAACAGGGAAAGAGAGAAAAATATTTCTAACTTTGGGAAGCAAAATTAGCTCTAAATCCAACATTTATACATGAAACTGTCCTTTTTCCTCCATTAAGCAAAGGAGTGAGTTACCTGGCAAGTGAGACACATGCAGAGCAAGGAGCTCGGATGGTTGTGTGAAACTTCCCCTGTCGGGACAAGGTTTGCTACAATTCATTCACTCCCCAGAAACAAAAATAACCCAATGTGTGCTTCTGTGCTGTTGTGCAGCTCAGCCACTCTGCCTATCACTTTCAAGTGCTTGCTGGAGAACAACCACGTGGACAGGAGGATCGCGCGCTTCGTGCTGCCCGTGGGAGCCACCATCAACATGGACGGGACCGCGCTCTACGAGGCCGTGGCCGCCATCTTCATTGCCCAAGTCAACAACTACGAGCTGGACTTTGGGCAGATCATTACCATAAGGTACAAACCACAATTCCACATGCTGGGGCTTGCTAGTCTGCATAGAATCATGGAATCTGCTGAGTTGGAAGGGACCCATCAGGGTCATCATTTTGTTGAGCCTGAGGCACTACTCTTGTATGTAGCAAGAATGAAACTCATCTTTGCTGTTACCAAAGATGCATCCTCATAGAAGGGTTGTTTCCAAGTAAGAGATCAGTCACTGCTCAAAGAGAAATTGTAGTGGTCCTGTTTAATAGATGCATGTGGACACCAGGAAATGAGCTTCTGTTTGAAGATAACCGTCTAATTTTTTGTTTTAGGCAACCCATTGATCACTTCTAGCATTGGAGCATTTTATTATTATTAGTGTTTAAAACACTATTTTAACACAACTGTTTTCAGCTTGAAGACTGATTTGTGTCTTCAAGTGAAAGGATAAGGTTAAAAAGTTGCAAAACTGGAAGTCTTATATCAAGTGACAGGGAATAGTGTGTGCCGGGAAGCTCTTGCAGGATTAGGGGAAGAGGGAAGGAGGACAGATGCTGCCATCAGGGCAGGTTTTCCCAAAGATGTCAGGTCACTAAGATGTTTTCTAATTGTCTTCTCTGCTGCTTGTTAAAGCAGAAAGCTTCATAAACAACCATGCTCTCAGTGGGTAGAGAGTGTTGTAGCTGTGTACTCCATCCTTGAAAGGTCTGTAATGGATCCAAAAGACTGGAAGATCCAGCTGAGCAATTACTGCCAGAATAACTCCAGTGACTGCCAAAGAATTCCTCAGGGACTGAAACCTGCAGGTTTCCAGCAGGGAACAAATGATTATAAAAACATTCCTCATAGTCAAAGCTTTGTGCAATATATTTGAGATCTCCTTAACTACCCACCCACTGACCTCACCACTGCCCCATTTACACTGCTGGGCCTTGCCCATCTTCTGCTGGACCTGAAAACCTTCATGACAAGAAGAGGAGAGTGCTGAAAACAACCTCAGATGACAGCTGAGATTTGCTAATGTGCTTTTGGCAAGACCTGGTTGGACTACAAAAAGAAGAAATAAATTATGCCCATATGAGCTCTTGCTTCAAGCCTGCACTCTCTTTGAAAACTGTTGGAATGAGCCTGTGCTAAAATTTAGTCTTTTCTGATTTGGAATTTTGAGATTTTTTTTAGCATGTGATGCTAAAACATGGCAGAGCATGAGCAGATATTACACACACTTTGAAGTAAAGAACAGTAATTTTAAACATTAAGGAGAAGAAGGGTGATAGCAAATGCAAAGAATGTAAGCTCTAACTTTATATTAGCAGAACCTCCTTTTATCTCTTTTACCCCCCACGTTAAGTGCTAGTATGTAAGGACCAGACAAAAGTAAAACAGTAGACTGAAAATACAAGTAAAAATTGGGAAAAATCCAAGAAGAAAAATAAAAATATGAACAAATGAGGATGCTAAACGGGAAAACATGGTGGACTCAGTACCTAGATCTTGATACTTTAGGACCTGGAGATTTAAAATTCAAATAATTCTGAATGCCAGGATATTCTTTCCAGAGGGGAAAAATTATTAGACAAATAATCAGTCTACTTTGCTCATAGTTTGTAAAATGCTGGTTAACAGTTTCTATCAATGCAAACATTGACGTAGCAGAGAAAGAGTAAAGATTTCCATCAACTGATCATCTTAGAGAAAGAAACATCTACATTAAGGCAAAGATGGAAAGGAATAGCAGATGAGCTTGCTTGTAAAACCTTAGTTAAACACTCCTGGTTTTACTCCCAAGTAAGTCCTGAGACTTTGTGGCCTGATGTAAGAGGCAGAAGCAGTCCTGATCAGACAGACAGTTCATAGCACTAACTGGACAGGCTTTTAATGTTCATTATAGTTATCTCTTACTCAGATACTGAACTTCTGTCCCTTCTTATCTATGCGCTATTACAATATTATTAGGATGCTACACAAATTAACTTTTGCAAAATTTAATTTTAGGTCTTTCCCCTTCCCTATCACACCCACATGCTAATGTGTTTTTTTATTTTAAAAACAGGGCTCTAGGTAGAAATACTGTACTGGTACACTGTACAGCTGTAAGCAAGGGACTGGATAGCCCTGTGTTTCATTCTCCATATGGGTGAATACACTTATCCTCATTTTCCATAGTAGGTTAATGAGACTTAACTGCTTTCCAAAAGCTCTGACATTCTTGACTGATGAATGCAGAGGATTACCAGTGTAAATGCTTTCTGTCATCCTTTTACAACTGTCAACATTTGTTCTTTGTCTTTCTGCTGGATGGCCTAGCACTTGGAAGTCACTAGTTCGGTGGAAATTAATACAACCAGTCACTTTTGCTCCTGGAAAAAGGAATTAAATCCCTCCCTTAAAAATAACATTATGAAAAAGAATGTTAAACCTGCCAGGTCTACTCTTGCCCTGGTCACCCACTCATTTCTACTTGCCTGGCTGAAAAAAATTGTATGAAGGTCAAGTAAAAATACTTTCCAGAAACTGAACATGTACAGTCACATTCAGGCTTGCTTCACATTTAGATCCAAGTATGCAAAGCCATGTGCTGTGCAAGGGCTTCACCCCTGGCCCAATCTCTTTACCCTTGGCCTAACCCTTGAAATGGATTGACAGTAAAGGCCCCAGGCAGGGCCAGCCACGGATTTGGCCACGGTGACCCCGAAGTGTCTGCTGGGAGCTCAGCTGCCAAGGACAACAACCATGAGTGGGGCTGGCAGACTCCTGGCACACAACTCCGGGTGGTAGAACTGGCAGAACTCAGCCCACAGCCTGGCTGGCCCCTCTGCTCTGCACCTTTGATACAGGGAGAGAACAGAACTGCCCCACTGGTCCCAAGGCTGCAAAGGCTGAGGGTGAGAATTCAGCCCTGGGCAGACAATCTGGCCTGTTCCTGCTATCTCACCTGGATTCTGTCCACAAAACACTGGCCCTTCCACGCATGGCTTGTGTAAGAGCATGGTTTAGAAACATGGTTTCTTCCAGAAAGTAAAGCTTATTCTTTTCTTTCTTTGTTAAAGTATCACAGCAACAGCTGCCAGCATAGGTGCTGCAGGCATCCCACAGGCTGGCCTGGTGACAATGGTGATTGTTCTCACCTCGGTGGGGCTCCCAACAGACGACATCACGTTGATTATTGCCGTCGACTGGGCACTGTAAGTAACACAAAGCTCTTGAGGCTTCCATGGTGGCAGTTTGGCTAAAAAGGCAAATGGTGTCCAGGGGTACAGTAATGCACACACAGATATATAGATATAGATATAGATATAGATATAGATATAGATATAGATATAGATATAGATATAGATATAGATATAGATATATAAAAGCAAAGGAACTGATTATATAATTTGAAATGGTATTAATGTAGCCTTAGATTAAAAACTCTGCTGATGTGGACATTATATTGAAAAAGACAAATGAAGGAGTTTAGATCACTCTTGGAAATATGTCTTGTTCTATAGAGAGGACACTTTGCTGCATCCCCAGTCACTTAACAGCACAGCCAGAGGCTGAAACTTAACACACTCAGGGTGAAAGGGATTTGTGTCACCCATGAAAAGAGTCACTTTAAAAATTCATATGAAGTGGTTTATTTGAACTCTCAACTTTCATGTAAATGCCAATGAATCAATCAATTTTGAATAGTTTAGGAAGATGCATCATAAAATGCTGATCCCTAGCTCATTAGCATGTCAATTAACTGTGTAACCACAAGGAAATGTCCAAATTATCTTTATTTAAGCTATATAAAATATATGTCCTTTAATATAGGGAGTTTCATTGCATCAGGGTTCTGTGTAAATTGTGTTACAAGTCCATTTTGTTATATATCCTATTTTAGTTAACTTTTAGCCACTTTTTTTTTGTATGAAGAATTGTGAGAAAAAATATTTTCTGTCCAGTGTAAAGAAAATTATTATTATTAGCATTAATAGGAGTCATGAATCTTGTGTTGTATGAATATTTTAAGACTGTATTACAAAAGCCTTTTCCCTCTATATTGCTCAGTTTTTGCCCAGTTCTTGCAACATCAACATTTCACTGTTCTTCCAGTAAGCCTTCATGGGAATTAGTCTTCTTTTTGTCTTACACAACTTTTCAGAACAACACAGAAAAGACTTTTCAGGCTATAGCTCCAGATGGTATTAAAAAGTAAGTAAGGAATAGACCCAGTTTTCTGTCTTTTGCAGATGACCTTTCAAACAAAAAGCATATTTCTGTATTTTGGCACTTGGTGGTTTCAAGAGCCTGCAGATGTAAAGTGTCAACGTGGTTGACACGGTGAATATTTTCAGTATTAGTTTTGGAAGTCCTGGAGAATGAAGAATGCTTAAAGAAGGCTGGTTAGATGATCTCACGAGACTGAAATACCCATTACAATGCACTGCAGGTATTACAACTCTCTTAGGTAGCCATAATGTGTATGTGACCTTCAGACCTTTAGCTAGTGCTTAGAGACATTAAGAAGAAAATCAAAATGTTTCCTAGCTCATTTATCAAACACAAGGTAAAAGTTTTACATCTTTATAATATCAATTACAGCTCAAATACCACTGACTCACACGTTTGCACTGAGAGAAATTTCACCAGCAGCAGGTTGGCCTCTCAGTGGAGAAATGCCAATGGTGTGTGTTGTGATTCTCCTCATGCACAGTGCAGACTGCTCCACACACTCAGAATGTGGAACACAACTGGTCAAACAACGTGCCAGGCAGTCCCTTTTCTTAGGAGTTCCAGTGTGGAGCCCTGTTTCCTTGGAAAAATCCTGTATTGAAAAGATGCTAATTAGTGCTCAAAAGGGAGCTCAGACTCTTGAGCTCTGCTCACACAACTTCTTCTCTACCACAGCTCACTAGTTGCACAATCAAAAATTCACAACACTGAGTATCTTTCCAAGAGTCACTATTTGATAATCAGGAAGGAAAGAAGTCAATGTGTAACAGGAACTTTTATCAGTACATGCTGTAACTGCTTTATTTCCCTGTTTAACATGTTCTTGTGGAAATTTTCTTCAAGGCAAAACCCAAAATCAGAACAGCAGGAATTTTAAAAAATTGATTAAGCAAACAAGTGTAGGACTGGTTCCTGGAGTCAACAACCACATCTAGGCGTAGGCTGTGGAATATTATTGCAGAAGTTACTCGCAATTGCACATACAATTAAGTAACTCCACACACAAATAAGCTTTCATGCAGGAATTTTCATGATAATTAAGCAGGCAAATGCATAAACATTTATATGCACTGAGTACTTGCCTAAAATATCTGAAAAAAAATCAGCACAGAGTTTCAATTCTTTTCTATATTAAGATACAGGATCAGAAATCTGGGCAGTGTTGACATTGGACTGTCACTGACTTTAATAAGCCAAACATCTGGAGATTTCTGAACCTCCATTTTATAATCTACATTTATAAATTAAGTTACTAATATGACAGAGTTTTCAGATGTATATGTTTTTCTTGGAAAAGACATGATGTATTTCAGACTTAAAAGCTATATCATCTATCTGAAATCTCATCAATTTTAACTATAGGTTCCAGGATGATTCAAGTGTAACACTTGTCTTTGTCTGACAGCCAGTTACTTTTGTCTGTTTACAATTTTAATAGATTTATTTTTTTAGACAGTGGGCAAAAGGTGTAAACAGGGAAGAAATCCCATAAATGAATAAAAGAAAAATAGTTCAACTATATATACTATATATACAAATACATATATATATACTATATATACAAAATACTGTCAAGCATATAAATTTAAATTGGAAAAAGGTAACTGAAAATGAAAGGCTTTAAGAGCTACTGCATAGCCAGCACAAGAGCCAAAGTCACCACAGGTTTTACAGGAATGAACATTACTTAAATATGGTCAGTGGCTCCTTGGTTTGTGAGTGTAGTTACATAGGAATCTTGTGAATTATTTTGATCGTATCCTGCCCATTCTACCAATACAATAATCTCAATAATCTTCTTAAGTAGCACTTTGGTTGCTAAGATTGGTACCATGATCACTAATATAAGGGACTGGTTGCACTGGCTGATCTCTGCTTTTACTGAATTCAGACATTTGCAGCACCAGTCTCCAAATCAGGCCATACTGCTGGACCTCAACATACAAACTGGGACAGAAATGCAGGTGTGATGTGCAGTTCCACCTTTTCAGGGCTGAATCAGCTTGCAGCTCTAGGGGAATACAGCTGCTCCTCTTAGCTCAGTTACACAATCAAGTGTGTGGCAGCACAACACACCAAGCTCAGAAAAGGCTGGAAAACCCAACTGAGCTGCTCAATAACTCATGGATGCTTGATACCAAACTTCTTAACATTTCTAAACATTTTAGCTCATAAACCCAGCAAAACTGGCCTTCAGGCATAATTATGGCTGATGGAGGCACAGGAATGTACCCAAAGAGCCAACACCTTACTGTTGCTGTTTCATTTTCCAGAGACAGGTTTAGAACGATGATCAATGTCCTGGGGGACGCGCTGGCTGCTGGGATCATGGCCCACATCTGCCGGAAGGAGTTCATCAAGGATGGTGACGAGGTAACCACACTGTGAGCCAGGGTGTGCTGTTCCATGGCATGGAACCTGTGAGCTCCCACATCTGGTTTCTCCAGCTTATAAAAGGTGTTTCAGAGAGAGGACAGAACTGGGCAATGGGCAGCTGAATTATGGAGAGGTAAAGGTATCCATGCATGTGTATATGCATAATCAATGAGCTCACATCAAAAGCAACTACCCTGGGCATTGCAAGCCCCTGAGTCAGCATAATCTAAGCTACCCTTGCAATAATTTTCTTTCCAGACTAGCACAAGCACATGACTCCATTCTAGACTTCATTCTCAGACATCTTCATGCTTTCTACATTTAACAGAAGTCCTTCCTTACAGCTTTGCTTTTCCTCCTCTGTATCTTATTTCATACAGCACACATATCTCTGTATTCTGCCCCCTGCCTCCTTCCACTCCTATGCATTTCTCCTTCCTCTTTGGCATGCATAATTCAGTCTTTCCTTGTAACAGGAACTCCTCATGTTCTTCCTTCAATCCTTGACAAAGGAGATTCCTAATTCCATGAGCCCATCAGATTTGGAGGAGCTAATTTCCACCCATTTTAGCTCATGGCAGACTTTCATTACCTTTCTTCCACAAAGACAGAATAGTTCATGCAGGAACTTTTCTTCATCAGGACTAATCTTCACAATACAAGTTTCATTTCTGTGCATCATCTGTAGTATTCCACACAAATAACAAAGTTTTGTTTCTATCATTATTTCTCCCATTCTACAATTTTGTGGTAAATCCCATTGATTGGGATCCCCTTCCTAAAACTTTCATTTAAAATTCCTGCTCTTTCAAGTAGCATGTTAAAAGACAGATAGTGTCCTCTGAGGTAATTACCACCTGCAAGTAATTACTGATGAGAGGATTAGGCCTGACTGTAGGGGCTACACATGCAGCTACCTACAAACCCCCTAAAATACAACCTATGGGCAAGGTAGGTCATCCATTACAAAGCCAGAAGTGTAGGCCGAGCTCCTGCATAACACAGGCCTCCTGACATTTCACTGCTGTATTTAGAACTCAGTCAGAACTTAAGAAGAGATGCTGCAGTAATATGAAATCCCTCCTGAGGGATTATTTAGTCATCTGTGATGAGATTTTTCTTTGAATCATGCTCTGTAATGGTATTAAAATATACCGTTAGTCTGCCATACATTTTGGCTGCATAATTTGTGCAGTTAGTAATATATACCCAAAGGCCTTATTTTCTCAGCTGCAAGCCCACCTCCTTTCTTTGCCAGTATTTACGTCTTACTTTCCCAGTCAGAATCTGGTTTGATTTAAAGAACACTTCCACATTTAACTTATGAATCAGTTAATAAAATCCCCTTTATTTCCTTCAAAAGAGACAAAACTGAAGAGACAGGTGTTGTTTTACTGGGTTAGAAGAAAGGCATAAGGCAACAACAAATGGTTGTTGGTCCATTTAATTGCACCCAAGAGCAAGCACTGTCCAGAGCTCAGCACAGTGGCCATTGAGAGTCTGTACCTTTTGAAGTGAGCTCTGGAATTCTGGTCTCTGTTTACCCTACTTGTATCATTCTACCAAGGGGAAGCAGCTGTTACCATGAGTGTAAGTTCAGTTAGAGTTGTGACAGAATTTGCATTTTTACAGAGACTCCTTTACTTCATGCCTTAGTGTATATGAGAAACAGCTTCTGGAAGTCCATGGGGGCTCTATATAATCCTGCTGAAAGTAAAGCAGCCCACAGGCTTTCCAAGTAAAAATTCCCTTCCTGTTGTATACAGCAACCAGTGGCAGTATTCCAGATCTTAATGCTTTTCACATAGGTGCCATTGATCTGTGAAACTAAGCCTATTAACATCCATCAGATTGTGGCTTACCAGAGGAATGGCTGTGTGAAGACCATGAATGAATCTCGTGGACCAGAAACAGTGAAAGAGTTGCAGCACCATATACCCATACAAGTGGAGCAAGAAGAAACTCCAGTGGAGAATCACACTAAGAAATCCAACAGTAAAGACCACTGCACTATTGAAATAAATGAACTAGAAACAAATGTGTGACTGCTACACTCAGAGGTATCTCACACCCCAGTGACCTGATACCAAATCTCTACCTCACAGCTGGAAGAAGGACTCTCTGCCTTGAACAGGAAAATGTGGATTTATCGCCACCCTGCTTGTACTGGAGCTAGGAGACCAGCTGTGAACGTCAAGAAAGGCACACAGCTTGCAAGAGACATGGGCTTATTTAGGTGGAAGATTCTACTACTGAAAATTAACTAATGGACTGCTACTGTTTTATTCTGCACTCACTGACTTCAATATAGTATTTGACACTCCTTTGTCTTCCTTTTTTTAAAAGCTTTTTTTTTATTTGACCCTTTTTGATTTTCTAACCAAAGCCTTTTTTTGTGAATCTCAGTAATTACCAACACTGTAGAATTTTTGCTATGTGAAAATGTTTCACCAAAATTGCTACAGATACTAATTTTGTCTCATATTCACTAAATATAGAGTTTGTGCTTAGTTTTAGAACAGCAGTAAGAAAATCACACTGATTTCCTGATCTCAAGGTGTTACATCTATTCCTAAATAACAGTGCAAGCACAGGGGAAGTGAATTGTGCATTTGTGAAAGAAAGGTCATTTAAGTAATTGTGATGAACAGCTTTCAGAGACAGGCAGTCAAGTGTGATATCTAACACAAAGATTTCCTAGGTCACTGCAGAGCACAGTTTGCCTTCCAAGTGCCAGATTTATTAACCTTTTTTTAACCTAACTCTTCAGTAACGTCAGTTGCATGCACATGCAGTGGCAGAGGCGATGTGAGCTCTAATCCATAAGCACTGGTGCTAATGTGTCCTCTCCTGTAACCTATAGGTTGTTCCACTGTAAATATATGTTCTACTGTATAAACTCAAAGCTCAAGCTCATGAACAATGTGCTGCGTCCCAAGGGCAGACTGAACACAAAGTGGGACCTGATCATGCTGAGTTAAAATGGGGTTTTGTGAGGAGTTTGCTGTGGAAACTGCCCCATTATTTCTCATAATTCAGTTGACAGTCACTCCCTTTCCACTGTCTACTGAATCTTTCATTTACAGTAAAATCTGCTGCATATGTTTCCAATGTTTGTGATAGAGAACATTTTTAATAAACCTGCCATTTAAAAACAGGCTGTCTGTGCACTTCTACTATTAGTGTCTTATGTCTCTGCTAAAATAGGGAGTGGAAGTGAGGAGACTTTTTGAAAATTTGGGATTTGATCCAGAAATTACATACCAGCTCATACCGATACACTTGATATATTATATTTAGCTACTTGTGGCATAGCAGCTTGAGATACCATGTGCCTGGTATGCTAACATGCTCTTCTCGTCTGTAAGGGAATAATAACCCAGTCAGAAAGGACAATTTCTGCATTAACCAGAAGCAGAAGTGTTTCATGCATTAGTTCATTGCAGATTCAGTGTATCATTCATTCATGATTAGTGGTTTTCCTGGGATGTACACATTCACCTCTTCTTTAAGAGCTCCTGTTCAAACTATTTCTTATATCATGCACTGAATAGTTGCTCAGAACACTGTAGTATAGGTAGTTTAATTACCAAGCAGTAAAGCCAGAAAGAACACACATAGGTCCTCTTTGTAGTAGAAATTATGAATTATTTTGTACATATGTACAGTTGGTAACTGTTTTCCTGATCTGACCCTAGAGTGAAAACAACAAACTCAGAACACAAAGAATAGGGAAGAACTGAAATGATTCAGAGCAGTTTGCTCCAGAACAAGTCCAGTAAAGGACCTGCTCTGCAGAGTGTCACAAGAATGAGTGACTGGGGAGAGCCGAGGCTGGTCTGTGCCCCTCTGAATGGGCAGAAGCACTGACTGACAAACACATCTGATCCTGTACATCTCAGCAGCACTGCAGCTCCTGGAGGTCCCCCTCATCCCTCCCCAGCTGTCCATTCCTGCCTGCACTGCCTCCCCTCCTCTCCCAGCTGTACAGACCCAGTTATTTATGAGGCCAGACAAAGAACCAGATGAGAAGTATTTTTAATTCAAACCAGTTCACATATGTTTCTAGCACAGTCCTACCAGACAGTTGTGTCAACACAAGTGAAGGGGTGATGCAGGGACAAGATCAAGCAGCCATGGATGAGACAGGGTAAGGGCACATGAACCAGGCAGGGTCTCTGTGTGCCAACTGTGCCCACAAAGAAAACACAACCAAAAGTTTCAACTTCACCCAGACAATTACAGCTACATGAAGTGATAGTATAATCCTGCCAGTCATCTATCCGTTTTTACAAGCACCTTGCATAGATAAAAATGAAGAAGAAAGATGCCAAGTGGATCCAAGATTTGGAACAAGTAGTCCCAGACTAAGTGGTTTAGGAGAGTCTGCCCACACACCATGCCACTGTGCCAAGCAGAAAGTGCTCCCAGCCTTACCACCACCTAGCACAGCTACCTACAACCTTCAGCTAACTACAAGTGCAAATCCTTTTGCCCCTTTTCTGAGACAGCTTACTTGGTGTGACACTTCTCAGTGCAGTCATGGCTCAAGAGGTCTAAGTCAACTCTTGTGCTTAAGCATCTCCTAGAAGGAGAACTTCAAACGAAATAAAGCACCAAAGAGCAGCAGTCAGTTGTGCTACTCAAGTCCTGCACAACAAAGAAAACCACAATTTTGCCCATTATGCTCTCACATTAAGGTAATGTGGGAGTCTCATGTTTGAAGGCATATTTTTATGGAATCAACAGGCTAGTTTAAAATCAGCTTTCTGCATTCAAACCCTACTTAAAGAGTGTCCAGTTCTGCTTTGCAATTGGAAATGCATTATGTTTTTAACATGTTACTGTTTGGATTTTTAAAACTTGGGGTTTACAGCAATCTGTGCCTCCCATTTAGCTGGGAGGAAGGCAGTGGTCCTGTTTCTCACCTGGCCTTTTCCATTTGTGGTATGAAATGCTGTAACTAGAGGCCTAAGGCACTTTGGGTCTTGGTTCTGGTGAATATGTGTTGCCTAGTGTATTGTGTCCTTGGCTGGGGCACCTGACTGCTACTGCAGTCATTCTGTACTGAGCACAAGACAGCACTGTTAGCTGGGAGAGGTGAACACTGATGCTACGATCATTTCTGATCATTTCTATGCTAAGTTTTCCTCCTGTTAGCTATTTCCTGTGTCTTGTGGTGTGTGTTGTCAAGCAGCTTGATGCATAGTGCGAGTATACTAGCAGTAGGTTCCACAAGATATTTGTATGCATGGGTCTGTTCACATTTTCCAGTTATAATCACACTTCCTTCCAACAAAAATAACATAGCTGTTGATTATGAAGTTAGAGTGCAAGCTTTGTTTTGGTAAATATGTTTCTCCTACTTTAAGAGCATAAAAACAAACATGTGACCTTTACAGTCTCAAAAAATTTATATTAAAAAATCAATCGACCAGTCAATCACTTATTATAACAGTTTGCATGGTATCATTTCAAGCATATGTGGAAAGAACATATTTGTTAACTGGCAACATTCAATCCTATTTTGAAGTTGCCTCCCCCTGCCAAACAAAAAGGGAATGTGGCCAATTAAAGTTTTCTAAAGGCACACTTGGGAAGAGTCTTGAGGAGGGAAAGAAGATAATTAAGAAGGGTGGTCCACTGCATACAGCTATAGAAAAAGAATTTGGAAGTAACCCAAATTAGCACATATTTATCAGAAGCAGTGGTTTTATGCTTGTTAATTTGAAACTCCTTTTCTCTGATGATACTACTGAGAGGAAAGAAGATACTGCAGATTATTGTGGCATAAAACATCATTAAAGACATATTAAAACAGGTTCTTGAGGATTTTGCCAATGCCAAGGAAGTTCTGCAGCATTGAATTGCTGTAATAAATCCTCATGCAACAATTAGAACTGAGAGAAAGAGATACAACCAGAGCACTTACGTATCTCACTAATTCCCAAGAGCTTTTGGCTGCCAACCCAAATACAGAAGTTTATGGAACTAATAGTTATTCATATGCTCTGCTAGTCTTAATTGATTCCATTTAAATTATTTAATTGCACCTATTTGTGCCAGCTGAATATGAATCCTAACATACAAATAAGATTATCTAAATAGTCAAAACACTAAATTGGAATTTCCCACCTGCTATACTAGCAATTCCATGGCACTTAGAAAAGACAGGAACTCTGTAACACCCCATTTGATGAGATCTCACTTTCAATTCCACAACAAACATCCATTTTAGTCTCTTTTTAACAACAGCAAACTGATTTATAATACTTTCAAAGCAGACAGAAAGCTTCATCTTCAAGCCAGATGGATAGTCTTGGAAATGACCTCAGTCCTTTCTGTGCTTTCCATAAAAATGAGGTAACTATTAGCAGAAGGTGGTTATTGTGTGCGGGCAAAATGTGTAACCTGGGAGATGAAGTGCATGTGGAAAACTCAGGCTGCCTTTGATCTTGCCCAACGCTAAGCACCCCCGTGTCTGTGCCTCTGCTGAGCACCCAGGTGTGTTTTTCCAGCAAGAGCAGCTCTGTCACTACAGCCACAGAGACAATGAGCCATTGCTTGCTTTCCCCTGCTGGCACTAAAGCTGAGATCACAGCCCTCCCCACCTGAAGACTAAGTACCGGGAGGAGAGAAAATAATGAAGGTTTTTCTACAGTGATGCTACTGTTGCCTTCCTTGCAGTGGGAGAGCACAGCTTTTTGCAGTAATAAATGTCTGGCTTTGCTGCATTTGGAAAAGAGGCCCCAGAACAGACAAATTTAATGCACTCATTCACTAAGGACTGAGCTGAAACACATGTATTGAACTTCTCAGTTTAGCCTGTGATTTCACCTACAACTGAGATGAGAGACACTCAAAATTACATTCCTCACTAACTACTCTGGAGCATACTGATTGATATTCCTGGAATTTGTAAGAGGGTTTGTCCCAAAAAGCCCCAAATGGATTAGATCAATAGAACAGGAAGGGTGGTCACTACTTAGGGTCAGGTTCGGTATTCACTCAGACTTCCCAAGTGACCACAAGAATGCAGGGTTTGCTTCCCCTCTGTAAACAGAGAAAAGGTCCTTTCTAAATCAACAGGGTGATGCATGGTAAGGATAAATGAGCTGAAGACTGAGACAGTTACATAACACAGTAAAGGGGGCTCATGATTACCTTGGATTAGCCACTTCTGTCTCTCTGGAAGCACTACTCACAATAGTCACAGGAATTGCCAGGCTTCCATTCTAAGTGACAGAACCTCAGATGCCATCATTTATAAAGCAGCAACAGTTGCATCTCTTTGGCCCAGAAGATGATATATGGGAATAGATTTGGCACAGCTGAGACTTTTGGCAGATTTGTGTCACAGGGTATTTTAGAAATTTTACAGGCTGTCAAAGTGAAATCGTAGCAGTCTGTTACTGAGAGTGGTATTTTGGGGAACGAGTACAGAAGGCTTCAGAAAGACAAGATGGGGAGTATGGTGGGTGAAGAGGGAAAATATTCAATCACTTCTCCTGCAATAGAATCAAACCTTTCCCTGCTGGCTCCAGGAAGAGATGGTATCAACAGCTGGAGGTGTAGGGAGGGAGCAAGGCATCCCTCCCCTCACAAAACTCCTGTCCCCACGTGGCCACCGAAGGCAAGTCTGAGGTACCCACAGGCATCCGTGACTCCCTTCACAGCTGTCCCTCCTTCCAGCACAGAGCACACAGTCCAGCACAAGAGCCAGCAAATGTTGCTCCTGAAGAGTTTGTAACTGAATCACTATAAAACACCAGATTTCCCATTCCACTGGGAATTCACTGGGATGTGCTCAGGTAGGTGATAGGTGTGCTTTACAGGTTCCAACTCTTTGTACTGCAAGGTACAAAGAGTTCTACATCTGTTCCTTTACAATCGACCCTCTTTCATCACAAAGAGATATCTGCATTTCATTTAGGAACTAAATGTATGCTTCTGTGTTTCGGCACACCACACCAGCTGAAAGCCAGGCTTTGACCCACCACATGAAACTCACTGTAGTTAATCACTGCTTTTGAGCTTTCCTAAAAGGGATCTGATATCTCTAGGCCACCACTCACCCCCCAAAAAAAGAAGTATTTTAATAAGATGGAAAAAGCAGGGGAAGCAAAACAAGAAGTGTTTTATGTTCACAGCTATC